GACCATGTGAAACGCAATTAAAATTCAACTATTAGTACCCTTGTCAACTTAAACGAAATATGATGAATACATCTCACTTATATTTTCCATTTCAGTCGACAACGCTACTTGTATTCAAATGAGTAGTATTTTATGAAAAATAATCTATCATTCCTTCGTAACCTTAAGCGACCCACGAGGACCAAATCTTCTAGTAAAGTAATTTAATTTTGAGACCTACTTATATTATTGTCGGAAAAGCTCTTTTATATGTCCTTAAATCATCTTAAACGTCCTAAGGGTGACACGTTAATAGAATAAAACTAATCTTTCGTGAGTCAGTCAAAGTGGCATTTTTTCATGGGTTTGTTTGGGTTTTGCTTTGAATGACACTTCTTAAAGGTTGAGACATTAAAATTTTTCCAATCTCAAAATGCACACTTATTTTCACTTTTGACAAACCGGCGTCTGCATGAGCTTCAGTGCCTCATTTTCTCTCCTTTTTACGTCTCAGCGAATGTACTCAATGGTCCGTCCCTTCTGGGTGGGGCAGCAGGAGGTTCCATCTGTATGTCTTCGTCCAACCCAGCCGTCACCAGCCAATTGGCTACCTTCCTGCCCGCTGGTTCTGGTACCGGTGGCCTGTCCGGCCTGTCTGCCTCCGGTACGGCCGCCGGAGGCGGGAATCCGACCCCGAGCTCGGTGACCACCGCCTCGAGCTGCCTTTCGACGCAACACTCGAATGCCGCGGCTGCCGCCGCTGCAGCAGTCGCTTTGGCAGCCGCTGGATTGACGAATAGTGCCCCCAAGCGACTGCATGTCTCCAACATTCCCTTCCGCTTCAGAGAGGCTGATCTTCGCCAACTGCTTGGCGTTAGTTACCATTTTTTCCTGCATTTATCAGCATCACCAGCAGACATGTCGAATGTTTTTTTGCATTTTCGCTTTTTCTAAAAACGCAAGTGGAATGCAGTCTTTAGACTAGCCTCATCTCAAACCGAGTGTGGAATGGCTCCAAGAAGTCCTCGATACTCTGTCCCAAA